TCTATATATACCCATTGTTGTCAAGTTGATTCTGACTCATAGTGACAGATTAGAAGTGCCTCATCTCATAGGGTTTCCATGGCTGTGAACATTACAGGGGCAGATTGCCACATCATTCTCACCATGGAGCAGCTGGTGGGTTTGAACTGCTAACCTTTTGTTTAATAGCCTAGTGCTTAACTGTTTGCATCACAAGGATTCCTTATAGATGGTTTTAGTTCATCAATACAATTCTGTGCTTAGGTCAGTATTTAGAACCTGTTGCCTTCCAGTTAATTCTGACTCATGGCGATCTCATGTGTTACAGAGTAGAACTGTGCCATAGGGTTTTCTTGACTGTAATCTTTAAGGAAGCAGATTGCCAGGGTTTTAACTAGTGATGCCACTGGGTCGGTTTGAACTGCCAGCCTTTAGGTTAGTAGTCTAGTGCAGGTCATTTACACTAGCTAGGGATATCTTAGCACATTAAATGTACACAATAGACAATTGACTGATGTATACTGATATGCATAAAAATACATAGTCAGAATTATCTACTTAGTATTTATTATAATATTTTTCTTATATAACTAAATATTCTTTGAAAGCATGATTTTCATTGCCAGTACTATATTTTAATTCTATAGTTTTGCAATAATTTAATAAATTCAAAATTATTGGAGATGTAATATTTTTTCATATTTTAAGTGTTATAAACAACACTATTATCAGCATTTTTGAACACATAATCCTTGTGTGGAACTTTGCTTTTTCCTTATTATAAATTTTTAGAAGTATAATTCCTTGATCAGTTGACATATACATTTAAAAAAGATTTTAATGGGTATTACTAAATCACTCTCTGGAGAGATTGCTTCAATTCATATTCCTGATAGCAGGATTATGGGTCCCCCCCCTTTTTTAATGTCCATATTATGATGAAAGTGGCATTTGATGATAACTTACATTTCTATGATTTCAAGGTGTAAATAAGAAGTCATTCTTATATTCATCAACCATTTGTATTTCTTCTTTTATGAATGAGAATAATTCCTAACAAAGTGTTAGTTTCTATGTAGTTTTCTTTGTTCACAATGGAAGGTAGAGAAAAAGGGTAGAAAGAAAAGGCTACCCATCGGCTTGGGAATGGGAGATCTTGCGGCCAGTCCTGGCTCTTCCTGAAATTCACAGGCATGCCTGGTGCATCTCTTCATTTCTTTGAGTTTCTGCTTTCTCGACTTCAAAGTAAGGATGCTGGGGAGTTGGACTAAATCTCTTTTTTAGAGTCCAATAATTACATGACTACAATGGAGACATGTTTGTGACTCAATCTGTGATAGTTCCAGAGTGTCCACAGCACACATGTAGGTGAGTCAGTCTGTTTCTCTTCAGGCAGTGAGCTCCTGAATGGTTGGGCATGCATTCTCCTCTGCAGCCCACTTCCAGCTAGCGCCAGCCACTTAATTGCTCATTTTACTTTTTTTTTTTTTTTTAATGGAGCCAAAGACTATGGAAAGAAACTATGTTGTCTAAAATGAAATAAATTTTCCCTATGTTTGTTGTTGTTGTTGTTATGTGCCGTCAAGTCGGACCCGACTCATAGCGACCCCTCCTTGGGTTTCCGAGGCAGTATCACTACGGAAGTAGATTGCCCCATCTTCCTTCTGAGGAGTGGCTGGTGGGTTTGAACCTCCAGCCTTCTGGTTAGCAGTCAAGTGCCTTAGGCACTATGCTACCAGAGCTCCCTCCCTATGTTTAGTGATCTTTTATTCATAAGTACTTAAGAAGTAAATCATATTCTAATTCCTTCACCAGTTTCAGTGTGTTCATGCAAATTCAACTTTTAATTCACCCTGAAAAGATTGTTGAGTGGAAGGGCAATTGTCACATCCACCTGAAAAGATGTATGTTTTGCTTGGCCTTCAAATGTCTCAGCACCTGGGTTTGGGGACTGGGAAGAGGGCCTCAATCATTATGCAGCCACTTGCTCACACAGTCACTGTCACCCTTTGCATCTGAAAGTTGACCCAAATGTGCTCTTCTTGTAGCTAGAAAGCATGGCTGACTATCCAAAGGAGAGAAAATTTCCAGACTTCATTCAGTTGATTGACATGGCATCTGAGTCTGTAGGAGGAAAGGTGAGTGAGTTTCTATTAGCAAAAAAAGTATTTAATGTACTCGTGCTAATGAGCCAGCTAACCACTGCCGAGAACATAATTAGAATGGCAAGAATTAGGCTGAAGCCCATTATCTCAAAAGATTTCCAAGGAATTATTATTATTTTTTTCTTAACTTGGTGACAATTCTTAGTAAATGAAACATTAAGTTTTTAAAAGTGAGATTTTTACAACCGTAAAAGCAATTCTCTCTCCCTCTGGGTGTTTTCCTACAGTACAGATCTATGGCTCTCCAACTTTTAGCATCATAAAAGAATCACTTGGAGAACTTATTAATCAAAGATTGCTAGGCTCTACGCTTAGATAGAGCCTGGGAATTTGCAGTCCTAACAAATTCCCTAGGATCATACTTTAAGAATCACTGATATAGATGCTTCACAGTAGGCATGACCTGGCACCAATGCAGTAAGGAGGCCACATTCAAGACTGTGGCTCTATAGTTCAACTAACAACTATTTATTGAGTGTCTGTTATGTGCGATATACTTTTGATATTGAAAGCTACCATTTATACTTATGCAAGACTTGTGTTAAATTATCCTACAAATAACTCCCAAAAGAGGTAATATCTTCATTTTTATAATTAGAATACTGAAGCTCAGGCAATTAACTTTTCCAAAGGCAGAAAACTAATGTCAAAAATCTGTTTTGAAATCTAAATTTGACACTATACCATGCTACATTAAGCAAGTGTAGAGTTGTGTAAGTTAGTCTGTTGTCATGTGATTTGTTTTAGTAATCATTATCATATTAATTTTACATGTATTGGTTGATGGCAATTATCTTTTTTTTTTTTTTTTAATCCTTTTTTGAGTATACTTTATTTGTCTGCAAATAACCTTGTGTGTTGTTGTTAATTGCCATCAAGTCACTTCCCACTCACGGTGACCCCATGTGTGCAGAGTGGAACTGCTCCATAGGGTTTTCAGGGCTTTTGGAAGCAGATCGCCCAGTCTGTCTTCTGAGATGGCTCTGGGTAGGATCGAATCTCCAGTCTTTTGGTCAGTAGTCAAGTGCTTAACTCTTTGTACCACTCAGGGAATTCTGCAATTATCTTATTTGACTATCTTCTTTAAAAGCCTCTGCATTAATGTAGTTCTCCCTTGATATTTCTGGTTGCTTATCTATAGTCTTTTTCCTTGTCTCCTCTCTTTATATCATATATACACACACACACACACATATGTATACACACACACATATTCAAGATTGGGCAATCTACTTCCATAGGGATACCACCTTGGAAACCCAAGAAGGGGTTGCTGTAAGTTGGATCTGACTCGATGACAGTGAGTTTGGTTTTTGGTTTATATATATACAAATACAGATACATATCTGTGTGTGTGTGTATACACACATATATAAATACATATACACATGTGTGTATAAATACATATAAATATATGTATATATATACTTGTATATGCACACACATAATGAATATATAATCATACACACATTTATATATACATGCGTATACCTCAGAAGGAAGTTCGGGCAATCTACTTCTGTAGTGATACCTCCTAGGAAACCCAAAGAGGGGTCTCTATGAGTCGGGTCCTACTTGATGGCACATAACAACAATATACACAATACATACATATATACATATGCAAACATACACACATACATATACACACACATACACACACCCATATGCATATATACACCATACATACATGTTGTTGGGTGCTGTTTAATGGATTCTGACTCAGTGACCTATGAAACACTGTCTAGCTCTGCACCATCCTCACGATATTTGCTAGATTTGAGCCCATTGTTGCATGCACTGTATCAATCTATCTTATAGAGGTCTCCCTCTTTTTCTCTGACCCTCTATTTTGTTAAACATGATGTCTTTCTCTAGCGATTGGTCCTTCCTGATAATATGTCAGAACATACATATATATTTATTATTATTTTTTTATCAAGTTATCTTCTGTCTTTTCCCTCTTATTTTTCTATACTCTCTCCTTTGGCAACTTGATCTATTTCCGAGGCTCTAAATAATGCAATTTTAAAATCTGCCCTTATAGCCCTGACCCCTCTCTCTCCTTGACATTTCTTTTCTGTTTCTACTGCCTGCTAGGTATTTCTACTTAGATGTTCCTGGCATTATCCCTAAGGTGTTCAAAGCTTAACTTCTCCTCTTCTATTATAAACCTGCCCATGTCCTGGGTGGGCTTTTTTGTTAAGGCACTACTAATATCCTAGTAATCTAACTAGAAAGCCTTGGATACATCTTTGATTTCTCTCATTTCTCACATCAAGACAGTTGCCAAGTCCCATAGACTCCACTACCACAGTATCTCTGAAATCTGCCTTCCTTTTACCATTCTTTTGGTCACTGACTTGCTTCAGGCTCTCATGTTTTGTTCTGATTATTGCTGTTCATGACTTCTCTCACTTTCTGAGTGATCCCAGAGCCTAGCTCTGTACTTTCCTTTTCTGTTGAGAAATCTTCATGGTAACATTGCTGAGTATCTTTCATGGGCTGGACAATGTGCAAAAGGCACAAGTACAGAAGTGAATGGCTCAGTTCCTGCCCTCCAGAAGCTTATACTCTGCAAGGAGTCACACATAAAATCCTGACCTGCACTGTGATCAAGTGAAGTCAAGGTGCTGTTGGGAGCATATCTACTTTTGCGTGAGGACTGCCTTGTCCAGTGATGGGTGGGAAGGAGTCAGGAAAAGCTGTCTAGATAAGGTGGTGCTTAAAAACCAAAAACCCACCCACTGCCTTCAAGTTGATCCCAACTCATAGGGACCCTGTAGGATAGAGTAGAACTGTCCCATAGTGTTTCCAAGGCTGCAAATGTTCATGGAAACAGACTGCCCCATCTTTCTCCCACAGAACTGCTGGTGGATTTGAACAACCTTTTGGCTAGTTGCAAAAATGCCTTAACCACTGTGCCACCAGACTTTGGTAATGTTTTTGGGAGTCTTAAAATAGCATAGAGAGCTAGCAGGGCAAAGAATGAGGTGTAAGTGATATTTCAGACAGAGGGTAAAGGCTTGGAGAGGAAACTTGCTTACCATGTTCCAGATGGTTTAGTATTTCTGGAATATACAGGTGCTGGTAGAGGGAGTGGAGAGAATGAGTCTGAAGATATAGGAAAAGCCTCATGTGCCCTGAAAATTTCTACTAGGGAATCATCAAAGGCTACAGAACAAGGGAAAAATAACAATGTAGGTTTACTTGTCCCTTGCCCTGACAAATTCTTAGGGTGCAGGTCAACCCCAATACAATGACAACTCTCCTTTACTACCCACTGCACTGTACAGTAGCTGCTGCCAAAATAGCTGGAAGCTGCCAAAACAGCTAGATCATTTCTTGCCTTTAAGTTTTCCTGAGATAAAAATTAGAAATCAGTGCACCATGTCCCTTCCAAACTGGAGAGATCACTATATCCTGGATTAGATAGCTAGATGAATGATCTGTTTTGCTAGGAAAAATAAAATGCCAGTTTACACCTGTTTTTTCTTGGTATACAATTAGCCTCTTCTCACTCTCAAAATATCCTGCTTTTTCTATAAATTACCAGGTCAGCCTACCTACAGGGCATCTTTTGGCGGGCCCTTGGAGGTAGAACACTGAGCTGGTCAAACTACCGGTCTGACCCAGTATGGTGCATTTTGTCATTGCTATGTGATGCAATAGTTAAGTGCTAGGCTGCTAACCAAAAAAGATCAGGTTCAAACACACCCAGAGGCTATTCGGGAGAAAGATCTAGCAATCTGCTTCTGTAAAGATTACAGTCAAGTAAGCCCTATGAGGCAGTTCTACTCTTGTCACTGGGGTCACCGTAAGTCAGAATTGACATTATGGCATCACCACCACCACCACTACCACCACCACCAACACATTTGGGAAAGAGTCACAAGGCCTAATGTCTTCAGTTCTTCAAAAAAAAAAAAGTTGGTTTATTTGTTTCCCAAGTATAAGAAGTTAGCATTTTTACATCCAGATGGTAAAGGGGATTAAGAAAAAAAGGTGGAAAGAAAAGATAAAGGGGGAGGGAAGCAATGAAATCTAAACATTTAGAAAGCATTGTGGCTTAATTGCATATTGTTTCTCTTCCCCTAGGCAATTTCATGTTTTCTTTTTACTGCATCTCATAATGTTTCACTAGGGAATGAAATAAAATGGTTTTTAATTTATGGTTATTTTATCTTTACTTCTTTATTTCTCTAGATTTTATTTGCAACAGATGACTTTTTTGCTCCTGCAGAAAATCTTATAAAGGTATTGTAAGTTGATATTCTGCAATGCAAAGTGTTGATGTAGAAGTGATCTATGTAGCCATGTTAATTAAAATCTACCAGTATATTTGGAATGGAAGTGATGTTATGTGTGCCATTGAATTAGCATGTCAGAACATTAGAAACATGTACAAATCACCATTAACACAGGGATCTGACAAAGGAATTTGTGACCACATTGCTGGGAAAATACTGAGGTCTTCATCTAATGTGGCTTCCATAATTTATGTTGGGAAGAAAACCAACATATATCTTGAATTTTTTGGAAAATGTTTTACTCATCTAACTGTAAAAGTGAGTGATACACTTACAGAAAAAAAAATGGAGAAATTATTGAAAAATATGGGGAAGAAATTGAAGCACTGTTGTAATCCCACAGTTAATATTAGAATTAAGAATTGTTGCGAGGGATGAGATAACACAATGGCATATGCATTTAAAACCTATGTATGTTGTTGTTGTTGTTGTTATGTGCCGTCGAGTCGGCCCCGACTCATAGCGACCCCTCCTTGGGTTTCCGAGGCAGTATCACTACGGAAGTAGGATTGCCCAACCTTCCTTCTGAGGAGTGGCTGGTGGGTTTGAACTGCCAGCCGTCTGGTTAGCAGGCAAGTGTCTTAGCCACTATGCTACCAGAGCTCCTAAAACCTATGTATAGTGAACGTAATTGCAGCCAAATATCTTTTATAATCAATTTCTCTTGACCTGTCAAATAGCATGTTATCTTCAACTGTGATTAGCATGTGATCTGGTCACTTTGTGCCAAATAACTACTTTCTGTATAGAAGAACCTGTGTCCTGAGCATGTTGATATATGATAATATGAAGCACTTTACATATAATAACTGACTTATTTGTTAGGGGGGAAATAAAATGAGGAACAGAAATTTTAAGTAACTTGTTCTAGGTAACACAGCTAATAAATGATAAAGCTCCTACCATTTTACCATACATCCCATCTTTGAAAAATTTAAATGCATATACCTATTGACCTAGCTTTTCTACAGCTATACATTATTTGCACAAGTAGGAAAAACTATGCATTCATTCTGGTATTGTTTGCAGGGAAAAAACAAAAACAGAACAACTAATCTAAATGTTCACTAATAGAGAACTAGTTGAAGAAATCAAGACCCTTCCAGACTATGGAATATTAAAAAGAAGGAGGCAATTATCTGTATCCTGGTAAAAAAGATGTCCATGATGTATTGTGTATACATAAAATAAAGTTTTAAAGAATACACAGCAAACTGTGAAGAGTGATTACCTGTGAAGAAGTGGGCTCGGGAAGTAGGGTGGGAGAGAATGAAGGACCTATTACATTAGGAGCTCTGGTAGCATAGTGCCTAAGGCACTTGACTGCTAACCAGACGTCTGGCTGTTCAAACACACCAGCCACTCCTCGGAAGGAAGTTTGGGCAATCTACTCCCGTAGTGATACTGCCTTGGAAACCCAAGGAGGGGTCGCTATGAGTTGGGTCCGACTCGACGACATATAACAACAACAAGAACCGTATATTACATTAGAACCCCTGGTGTGCAATGGTTATGCACTTGGCTGCTAACTGAAAGGCTGGTGACTCTAACCCCAGCCACTCCATGGGAGAAAGATGTGGCGGTCGGCTTCCATAAAGATTACAACCTTGGAAATTCTATGGGGCAGTTCTACTCTGGCCTATAGAGATGCTATGAGTCAGAATAGGCCTGAAGGCAATGAGTTTGATGTATTACATTACATCACATCACTTTACATATTTCGTTATTTGTTGTTAGTAGCTGTCACTTTGATTCTGACTTATGATGGACAACCCCATTTGTGCAGAGTAGAACTGCTTCATACAGTTTTTGAGTCTGTGACCTTTTGGAAGCAGGTAGTCAGGCCTATCTTCCAAGGCACCTCTGGATAGGTCCAAACTACCAAACTTTCAGCTAGTAGTCGAGTGCTTGACTTCTTGTCCCATGCAGGACTCTGACATTTTATCCTATATAAACTTATATATTATATATAGAAACATGGATAAACACTTAAAATCAACAGACCAAAAACCAAACCCACTGCCACTGAGTCCATTCCGACTCATACTGACCTTATAGGACAGAGTAGAATTGCTTCATAGGGTTTCCAAGGCTGTAAATCTTTATAGAACGGACTGCCTCATCTTTCTCCCATGGTCCAACTCATGGGTTCGGACTGCCAACCTTTGGGTTAGCAGCTGAATGCATTAACCATTGCACAGCCCGAGCTCTTAAAAAAATCAACAAGTAATATATAAATATATTTTCTCATTTTAAAAAATGTTGATAAATTGGAGTGGGAGAGAATAGAAGACTTATTAATTATACGCTTGAGTGTATACTCACTTCATACATTCTCCCTATTCACAGACATATGTATATATATACATTCACACTTATATGTCACACAAATAATAAATATTTATTTTTTTGAAAATAAGAATAATATTACAGATAAAGCTAAAGCCTCTTTCACCACCAGCTTCAATGCCAATCCACTTCTCTTTCCAGAATTACTACTACTGTAAGATTAGAGTATTCTTCAAATATGCTTTTATAGATTTTTAAATAAGTGTATACATATCAAGGTAAATGTACAGAAAAATAGTATTGTTTTGTATTTTAAATTTATAGACATATTTACAGAAAGTACTTAATACTGTGCAAATTTGATTTTTCCATTCTCTAATTTTGAGCTCTATATGATGATGCATGTAGATCTAGGTCATTCTTCTAAACTGCAAATATTAATTAATCATATGAATGTGGCCCACTTTACTTTTCCTTTCCCCTATTGATGCACATTTAGGTTGACTACATATTTTAACTGTGGCAAAGGGTGACACAGTGAACATCCTTGTGAAGTTCGCTGATCACTGGGCACAGGTGTGGGTAAACTCTTGAGACTGGTCTTTTGTTTTCTTTCTTTTTCAAGAACATATTAGTCATCATATGCTGGGGACCATGTGATGTCATACCATTTATAATAGTACTGTTTTTCCCTGACCTAGTTAATTAGCTTGCTTCTCCAACTTCCAAACTTTGTGGTATTTAGTTTAGCTTTGACGGAAAGATGGGTCATGTCATTTTAGGTGTTTTGTTCTTGCTACTGCTACAGTTGTGATTCAAGTTTGGAACTTGGCAGACCTAGGGTTTTTAGTGGGTGCTTGTGGTCGTTAAGTTTGTGTGTCAACTTGGCTGGGCCTGGTTGAGTGGCAGGGCAGCTGGTGGTAGTTATTCCCCATGATAAGACTGGCAATCAACTCCATGGTGGGATCTACCACAAGCAGCTGAGTAGCTGCTTTAGGGTTGTGATCTGCTTCCCATATATAAGATGCAGCTTTGGGAATGGTCTCTAGCTTATGGCACACTTGAACCCTGAGTATAGCTGAATTGCTGTTCAGTAGCCTGCCATACTCTGGGGATCTTGGGACTTTCAATGGACTTGAATCAATGGCCTGCTGTGTTGTTTGGTAACACTGGGACTGTGCCTTTTTACTTGTTGACCTTAGGTTTGTCAGCCTCAGCAACTAGCAGCTGAGAGAAGAGAAGCCTCTAGCTTCAGAGGATTGGGAGCAAGAGGCAGAGCTGAAGCCCAAGGTTGAGGGGCTTTCACCCAGCCCCTAGAGGCTGGCACTTTGAATTCAGACTTTTAGCCTCCAAAACTGTAAGAGAATAAACTCCTGTTTGTTCAAGCCATCCCATTTGTGGTATATTTTCTGTTAGAGTGGCACTAGGTAACCAAAACAGTGCTGTACCTCTTTTTCTATTAGTGGTTTAGAACATAGCTTTATACTTTCTGGTGACTTATAGACAGGCTGGAATGAGTTTAAGGAGTGATTTGATTATAATAAAATTAAAAATATGACCAACTTTGATATAAAAGGCTAAGCAAATATTGGGCACTTACTGTGTGCCAGGCAATTACTAAGCATTTTAATGCTCACAATGGTGTTTGGGGGAGCTCTGGTAGCATAGTGCCTAAGGCACTTGACTGCTAACCAGAAGGCTGGTGGTTCAAACCCACCAGCCACTCCTTGGAAGGAAGGTTGGGCAATCCTACTTCCGTAGTGATACTGCCTCGGAAACCCAAGGAGGGGTCACTATGAGTCAGGGCTGACTCAACGGCAAATAACAACAACAACAACAATGGTGGTTTGGAGGTAGATAAAACAATTATTATCTACAATTAACAGATGAGGAAACTGAGGCACATTTACTCTCAGCCACTCAGCTAGGGGAGGCTGAGCTGTGTTGTGCACTCAGGCAGCCTGGCTGCAGAGCTTATGTTCAGAGGAGCCACTACTCATCATGGATTCTTGGTTAGTCTCACCTCAGAACCCCTGCCCAGACCTCTTACTGCTGCTTATCTGGTGACTTTGTCCTTTTCTTCTATACCTGGTGGAGAAGATTTCCTAAGCAGTAACATAAGATTCTTCTTGCATTTATCCTTATTTGACAAGTAAAAATATTCATCATCTTTGTTCACCCACCATCCATTAAGCACAAAACAATTTCTGATGTCTATAACACACAAGGTGTTTCATATATATGCATATGATTTCAACTTTATAACAAATCCTGCTAGGTATGGGGTCATCACCCCTATTTTTAAAGGTGAAGAAATGGAGGCTTAGCCATTTGTCTAATATAAGTAGTGACTCATATAAGTAGTGACTTTAGAGCTCAAGCTTTCCCATGGGTGGACTTAAAGCAGCGCAGAGCATTGGGCTTTAAGTGTTTAGCTTGCCCCTGAGCACCACACTTACTCTTAATATAACTTCACCTGAGCTACTTGTTAAATATTCTTTTCTGAGTTGCTTTGGAAATCTAACAAGCATCTCTTCCTTTGTTCCAATGATCTTTCAGTATCCAACTAGATTGCAGTTGTAGTAGCATGGCTTCATTTGTAAGGCTCATGGAATTAATTGTAATGTGGTTTTACCTGTTGCTGTTGTGACTTTTGCTATATGCCGAGGCCCATAGATAGGTAAAATTTCTGGCAGCAACTACTGATATGGATAGGTTAACTGTGAATGAAGGTAAGAACAGATATGCCCCTGCCTGCTAAGAATTCCCCTAGAATCCCAGTTTGTATTCCCATATGTCACTTTGGGGCAAAAGTTTATATACAGGAAGGACAGGCTACAACATGAATATTAACTACCAAACTGTTATGCATCTTTGCTTTAGAGTGATGCCCCAAGTTTTAAAGAGAATGAATATACTGAGTTTGGGAAATGGATGGATGGCTGGGAGACCAGAAGGAAAAGGATTCCAGGTATTATGATGGTGTTTTTTTTTTTTTTCCCCAGCACTGCAAAGCTTGTAAGATTGGGGCTATTGGAAAGCTGGTGTATATTTTAACAGTTCTATCTCCCTCCACAGGAGCTCTGGTAGCATAGTGGCTAAAGCACTTGACTGCTAACCAGAATGCTGGCGGTTCAAACCCACCAGCCACTCCTGGGAAGGAAGGTTGGGCAATCCTACTTCCGTAGTGATACTGCCTCGGAAACTCAAGGAGGGGTCGCTATGAGTCGGGGCCGACTCCACGGCACATAACAACAACAACAACATCTCCCTCCACAGTGCAGACGAGCTCCTCTGTAACACACTCCCGGGTGTTGATGGGTGTGGGGGGAGAGTCTGATAGAGGTGAGTCTCTGCTGCAGCCCCCACTTCGTTACTATGATAGTTCGAGTGGCATCTCTTGCAGTACTGAACAGGCCTGTTTTCGTGGCGACCACAGCACCCTGCTGAAAAGCAGGTGACAACTGCTCTTCTAACATGGGAGCTGCAGTTCTAGAAGCAGAAAGTAAAACCTATTGAACTAAATGCTGAGGCAAGTAGGTGATAAAAATGGGAGCTCTGGTAGCATAGTGCCTAAGGCACTTGACTGCTAACCAGAAGGCTAGCGGTTCAAACCCACTAACCACTCCTCTGAAGGAAGATGGGGCAATCTACTTCCGCAGTGATACTGCCCCGGAAACCCAAGGAGGGGTCACTATGAATCGGGTCCGACTCCACGGCACATAACAACAACAATCTCCCTTAACTGTCTGTTTTGATAAGTCCATGGAATTTCATGTCCCTGCCTGAAAATAAGTCTCTGGGAAGTCAGATAGGGGTAGCTTGAGCTCTGGTCATCTATGCACCATCAGGCAAGAGAGAGGGCAGAAAAGTACTGTTCCCAAAGTGAAAATATTGGTTGGCTGTGAATGGAAGGGAAGAACAAATATTTATTGAGCAATGTGTCAAGCATTCAATGATAAGTGCATTTATGTTTGGTCACAGCAACCCTCTGATGTAGGTGTTCTTATTCCCACTTAACAGGTTATGGAAACAAGTTCATTAACTTAGCCCAGGCCACATAAGTAAGATAAGGTGGGAAATGAATCAAGGTCTGTCCTATGCCATTGCACTTTTTATTCATTGCTACTCATCAGTATCAATCAACATCTATCTTTTAACATTGTAAAAAATGGCTACAAAATGGAACTATTCTAAGTGTTAGGCAAATATCTAGGTTTTTTTTGGTCCTGGCTCAAGTATTATAGAAATATTGGCCATTTCTAATTTTTATTATTTCTATAATACTTGAAATATTATTAAATTCTATTACATCTAGATAATTTAAGGTGAGTGCCAAGTAATAAAGAACTACACAATAACATACTGACTTCAAGAATTCTTACATTTTGAAGGGAACATATTCTTGGTGGGGGTGTTACAGGGAAAAAGCCTGAGATGACAAGAAACATTGTGTATCCAGGAGAATCAACACTATATTGAATGCCTACTGAATTGGGCTACGTGTTTTCTGTATTGTTCATAATCACATTTAAGCCTCATGTCTAGTAATATCAACCTTGATTTACAGTTGTAGAAATAAAGGCTTAGAGAGGTCAAACAATTTTCAAGGACACAGCTAGTAAATGATCAATTTGGAATCAGAATCAGGTCTCCCCATGCAAAGCCTATGCATTTCCTGGTCTGACTAGAACTGAGGGTTCATGTTGTGGAATAATGGTAATGTATGGCCAGATGATGAGGGATCTTACAGTCACATTAGCCGAGGATAAAGCTGTATTCATTTTTCTGTGATGAGAGAAGAGTTTTACTTTTGTTGTTTATTTTCTTTTTTAATATGGTTCAATCACATCCTTCACTTACCATATGAGATCTAATGGGATGTTCTTTTGGTTTTATGTCACATAGGTCATGATTGGTGTATCATCAAATTGGGAATACAAGGAATTATTCGAGGTTTTGACGTGGACATTTCTTACTTCACAGGAAATTATGCTCCCCGAATATCAATTCAAGCAGCAAACTTACCAGAAGGTATCTGTTTCCCCCAAATGAGAATTGTGGCATTGTAAGGCTCATCTGGCCCAGCCTTCTGGTTCTACTCTTTAGATAAGACCCAGACAGTTCTAATTACTTGTCTAAGGCCACTTTACTGTGACTGAACTTGAGAACTTGGACCCTTGGGTTCTTAGTAAGAATGTTCTGTGCTTTTAAATGTTTATGTAACAATATTCTTTGGTCCAGTATAAATTTTATCATTCCCATACTCCCCAGGCTTCACCCAGAAGCACAATGTCATGTCACCTCGAGATCTGGTAAGCAGGTTGTCAGGTAAGGTGGGAGGGAGTAGGCTCTGTCCTAGAGTAATACAGACCATCTAGAGCAGTTCTGGGAGCTAGCTGGGGGGCCATCTGCACCAGCACCACTGACATCACTATCTAGTGTGCTTAATGGCACAGTGGCATCAAAGTTTTCAAAAGGAGTTTCTTTCTGAGTCTTGGACTCTGGACCTTGTGAATCCACAGGCTCTATAAATTAGCCCTATATTTTTGTATCCCTTTAATTGACACTATCTGATTTTGGCCATAGAATTAATTTTCTTAGACAAATGTACAGTATGTGTGTGTATATACATCTATTTAGGGAAGAGAATGTCTGCTGGCAAATTTATACTGAAAACTCTATGTGTACAGATCTGTGTCAGGCTTTGTGGAAATGAAACACATGGACCATGCTCCCCAAAGACAGTTGGGATACCCCAAAAGTTAAATGATGATACAAGAGATGTTACTATACAAATTAATGACAAATAACTAATAGCCTTTTGACAAACCCATCAATCACTCATGAGTGCTTCTATTTCTGAATTGCCTAGGTATCATATTGAAGGATGGCACTTGGGGAAGCAGAGTTTCTAGAATTGACCTTGCAATATTCCTGAACTTTAATGATCCAAATTAAAAAAACAAAACAAAACAAAAAACAAACTCTAGTCATGTAATCAGTTTGTTGAAGCCTTGATCTAACTTGGAAACAATGTTGACTATTTCAACAAACAAATGTATCATCAAATACATTGCATTAATTTTTAAATTTTGCCATTAATAATTTAAATATTGAGGAACTTAAACAAGTGTTTCTTTTACTCTGATCATCTGGTGCTTTGCATTATAAAATTATGCCTTTATTGATATTTGCTAAAATGAAAATTATCATACCACCCACCTTGATCTCTAAACCATAAATGGTCACCCTAACTTCAGATAAACTACAAGAAATCTCAGAAAGAGGAATCAGAACCGGAACTGCAGCCACACCTGAGGAATTTGAAACTATTGCTGAGGTATGCCTCCAAAGAAAGAACTGATTGTTATAATTGATTACTGAAAAATAGTGAAACTTTGCCTGCTAGGCTGTGCATGGTGAATCTTTGGGACTGAATCTATTTGAATCTAATGTATCTTACCTTACTCACTCATTCATTTATGATCCTGCAAATGTTTCATTAGTGGTTTGTTCAACCCTTGCATGAAAGACATTTATAGCTCCTAAAAGACCTACCTTAGTCTTTCTAAAAGTGTGGTCAACTTACTGGTGCCCACCAAAAAAGTGTTATTGGTCCCTAATGAGATAAATACAGAAATTCACAGTAAATTCTTTTGGTAACAATGACAATGTAACTTTGTTGGATGAATTTAATAAATAAGTTTTTTTTTTTTGGTATATTCTTTTTTTTTCCCTAAAGTTTATTTTTCTAGTGTTTCACAAAACTGTTGATCTGAAACAGACTAGAAAATGAATAACACAAAAAATAATAAACAAGTCCTTCACTGAAGGGAGTTTGAGAAGCACTGATCTAGAGAATATTATAAGGTTCAGCCAATCAATTTACAAAAATTTAACAATGTTTTCTGAGCCAATATTAATTTCCTTGGGAAATTGTCATTGTCCAAGGAAATAACCTCATTTTTCTTTTTTTAACTATTTTGATTTGGGTGAAAATTTATAGAGCAAATTGGTTTTCCATTCAACAATTCATACATATTTTATTTTGGGACTTTGATTGCAGTCCCCACAATATAACAGCACTCTTCCTATTTCCTCTTTATGTTTACTGTCTCCATCTTCTTTCCTGTCTCTCTCTGCCTTCTGCGCTTTACTCCTGGACAAATGCTGCCCTTTTGGTTTCAGATGGTTGATTGTCCTAAGGAGTGGGTACCTCTCTGGTGTTGTTCACCTTATAGATCTGTTTACTGTTTCACTGAAAGCTGAGCCATGGGGATGAGTTCAGTTCCAAGCTTGAAGTGTGTCTAAGGGCCTTAATCTCAGTGGTTCCACCAGTCTCTGTCAGACCAGTAAGCCTACTCTTTTTTTTTTTTTTTTTATGATTTTGAGTTTTGTTTTACATTTTTCTCTCATTCTATCCAAGACTTCCTACTGTGATCCCTTCAAAGTGGTTGGCAGTATAGCCCAGCACTATTTAGTTCGTCTGGTCTCAGGGGCATGCAAGCTGGGGTTCAAAAGGTCCATTAATCCTTTGGACTACTTACTTGTTTCCTTGCCATTTTCATTTTCTTCACTCTTTCTTGCTCCAGATGGGGAGACACCAATAGTTGCCCCTTAGATGGCCACTCACAACTTTTTGAGACCACAGTAGTTACTTACCAAAGTAGGATGTAGAACATTGTCTTTGAAGACTATGCTATGCCATTGACCTTGATATCTCCTGAGACTGAGCCCCCATTCTGAGTCCAGCAACTCATTCTTTCAAGATGTTTGTTTATGAACAGCTTCAATTTTTAAATGAATGTTCACATTACCATTCTTCCCCCCCTCAAAAAAAAATTCTCAAGATGAAAAAGTCTGGTGGGATCTGAGATCATGTTCTTCGTTCTCAACCCTTCCCATTGTACACTACAACCTAGTGACTACTCTGACCAATATGAAAGAAACAGACCTTTATTTTGTTTATTATTCTATCTGGGGCTTGGTCTTGATTAGTATTTTTATTAAAGTACTCTATTAGAATTCTGTTTTAGTTCTCCAGTGCTACTCTAACAGAAAATACCACAAATGGATGACTTTCACAAATAAAGATTTATTCTCTTACAATTTAGGAGGCTAGAAGTCTGAGTTCAAAAGGCCAGCTCTAGGGGCTGGGAGAGGGCCCCTTAACCTTGGGCTTTAGCTCTGTCTCTTGCTCCCAGCCTACTGAAGTTAGAGGCATCCCTTAACTCAAGCAACTGCTGGCTGCTGAGGCTGACAAACCCAAGGTCAACAAGTAAAATGGCACAGTCTGAAAATTATCAAGCAACACTGCAGGACACTAATTCAAGTCCAGAAACAGTCTCAAGATCAGCAGACAACATGGCAGGCCACTGAAATCAAGACTTGGCCAAATGCAAGATCCAGATGTGCCAAAAAGCTCAAGACCTTTCTCAAAGTGTCTTGTATACTGGCAGCAGACCACATCCCTAAGGCACTTAAGGTAGATTGCACCATAGAGTTGATTTCCAGTCTCATCATGGGAAATCAGGACATCCAGTTGCCCAGTCACTCAAAACCAGGCCCAGCCAAGTTGACACATAACCTTAACTACCACAGCATCCAATCACCACTTGTCTGTTAGTTTGCCATACTGTAGTGGCTTGCTTGTTGCTGTGAGGCTGAAGGCTTATGCTACCAGTATTTCAAATACCATCAAGGTCACATATGGTGGACAGGTTTCTGTGTAGCTTCCACACTAAGACAGGGAAGAAGGAAGCAACCATTTACTTCTCAAAGAATTGGCCAGTGAAAACCTTATGAATAGCAGTGAAACACTGCCTGATATATTATTGGAAAACTTCATGAATAGTCCTGAAACAATGTCTGATGCAGTGCTGGAAGATAAGCTCCTCAGGACAGAAGGCACTCAAAATACAACTGTGCAGTTCCTCTTCAGCGTAGAGTCAATAGTATTGATGTGGATGGAGTAAAGCTTTCAAAACCTCTGTGTGCTGATGGGGCACACTCAAAATGGGAAGAAACAGCAGTAAACATCCATTAATAATTGGAAAATGGAATACACCAAGTATGAATCTAGGAAAATTAGAACTTGTCAAAAATGAAATGGAATACATCAAGATCCCTATTCTAGGCATTAGTGAGCTGAAATAGACTGGTTTGGCCATTTTGAAGTAGACAATCATAGGATCTACTATGTCAGGAATGACAAATTGAAGAGAAATGGGGTCACATTCATCATTATAAAGAATGTTTCAAGATCTATCCTGAAGTACAATGCTGTAAGGATAATATCCACACGCCTATAAGGAAGATCAGTTAATACTACTATTCTTCAATTTTATGCACCAACCACTAAAGCCAAAGATGAGGAAATTGAAGATTTTTATTAACTTCTTCAGTCTAAAATTGACCAAACATGCAATCAAGATGTATCGATTATGACTGCTGATTGGAATGCAGAAGTTGGAAACAAAGAAGAATCACCAGTAGTTGAAAACATGGCCTTGGTGATAGAAATGATGCAGGATATCACATGATAGAATTTTGCAAGACCAATGACTTATTCATTGCAAATACTTTTTTTTTTTTTTCTGAAAATGTAAATGACAGCTATACATGTGGACTTTGCCAGATGGAATACACAAGACTCAGATCAACTACATCTGTGGAAAGAGGCAGTGGAGAAGCTCAATATCCTTAGCCTAAACAAGGACAGGAGCTGACTATGGAACTAAGCATCCATTGCTTACATGAAAGTTCAAGTTGAGCCTGAAGAAAATTAAAAAACAAATCCATGAGAGCCAAAATATGACCTTGATTATATCCCACCTGAATTTAGAGACTATCTGAAGAATAGATTTGATGCATTGAACACCAGTGACCAAAAACTAGATCAATTGTTGGATGACATCAGGAATGTTATCCATGAAGAAAACAAAAGGCCATTAAAAAGACAGGAAAGAAGAAAAGACCATAATGAATGTCAGAAGAGACTCTGAAACTTACCCTTGAATGGAGAGTACCTAAAGCAAATGGAAGAAATGATTAGATAAAAGAGCTGAACAGAAGATTTCAAAGAGCATCTCAAGAAGACAAAGTCAATTATTACAATGAAATGTGAAAGATGTGGAGTTAGAAAACCAAAAGGGAAGAACACACTCAGCATTTCTCAAGCTGAAAGAAATGAAGAAAAAATTTAAGCCTCAAATTGCAATATTACAAGATTCTATGGGCAAAATATTGACCAATGCAAGAAACATCAAAAGAAGATGGAAAGAATACATAGAATCACTATACCAAAAAGAACTGTTCAATGTTCATCTATTTCAGGAGGTGGCATATGATCAAGAACCAATGGTACTGAAGAAAGAAGTTGAAGCTTTACTGAGGGAATTGGCAAAACACAAGGCTCCAGGAATTGACAGAATACCCACTGAGATGTTTCAACAAATGCATGCCATGCTGGAGGCACTTACTCATCTATGCCAAGCAATTTAGAAGACAGCCACCTGGCCAGCTGACTAGAAGAGGTTCATATTTGTACCCATTCCAAAGAATGGTGATCCAATAGAATGTGAAAATTGTCAAACAATATCATATGCAAGTAAAAGTTTGCTAAAGATAATTAAAAATTAATTGCAGCAATATATTGACAGGTAACTTGCAGAAATGCAAGCTGGATTCAGAAGAGGATAGAACAGGGGATATCATTGCTGATGTCAGGTGGATGTTAGCTGAAAACAAAGAATACCAGAAAGATGTTTACTTGTATTTTATTGACTTTGCAAAGACATTTGACTGTTGGATATTAACAACTTATGGATAACTTTGAGAAGAATGGAAATTCCAGAACACTTAATTGTGTTCATAAGGAACTGTACATAGACCAGGAGGCTGTCATTTGAACAGAGTAAAGGGAATACTGCATGGTTTAAAATCAGGAAGTTTGTGCATTAAGGTTGTATCCTTTCACCATACTTATTCATTCTGTATGCTGAACAAGTAAGCCGAGAAGCTGGATTATATGAAGAAGAATGCAGCAGGATTGGAGGAAGTCTCATTAATAACCTGCAATATACGATGACACAACCTTGCTTGCTGAAAGTGAAGATGAATTGAAGAATTTATTTATGAAGATTAAAGACTATAGTCTTCAGTATGGATTACACCTCAACATAAACAAAGCAAAAATTCTCACAACTGGACCAAGAAGCAGCATCACAATAAATCGAGTAAAGATTGAAGTTGTCAGGGATTTCATATACTTGGGTCCACAGTCAACACCCATGGAAGCAGCAGTCAAGAAATCAGACATTGTATTGCAGTGGGAAAATCTCCTGCAAAAGACCTATTTAAAGTGCTGAAAAACAAAGATGTTGTTTTGAAGACTAAGGTGAGACTAGCCCAAGTCATGGTATTTTCAGTTGCCTCATGTGCACATGAAAGCTGGCCAATGAATAAGGAAGACCAAAGAAGAGTTGATGAGTTTGAGTTGTCGTTTTGGTGAAGAATATTGAAAGTACTGTGGACTGCCATAAGAACTAACAAATCCATCCTGGAAGAAGTGCAGCTGGAATGCTCCTTGGAAGCGAGAATGACTAGACTTCGTCTCAACTACTTTGGTCATGGTGTCAGAATGGACCATTCCCTGGAGAAAGATATCAAGCTTAGTAAAGTGAAAGGTCAGCGAAAAAGGGGAAGAGCCTCAACAAGATGGTTTGACACAGTGGCTACCACGATGGACTCATGTACAGCAAAGATTGTGAGGATGGCACGTGACTGGTCAGTGTTTCGATTACTGAGTCGGAGTGGACAAGATGACACCTAACAACAACAATATTTGGCATCCATTGGTTGTTTGAACTCATCAGCCTCTCCATGGGAGAAAGCTGTGCCAATCTGCTTTCATAAAGATTGCAGCCCTGGAAACAATACAGTGCAGTTCTACTCTGTCCTATAATATTGATATGAGTTGGAATCGACTTGACAGCAATGGGATTTTGGTTTCTTAGGCATCCATCATTAATTTTTATTCCAAAATATCTCTAACTCTTAAATCCCACACAGGCACTATGATGTGAGAATTTATTGTTCTCCAAACCCATTGCTAACATTTTGATGTTTATTGCTAGCTGAATTCTGAAAACTGGAATTACTTGGTTCCCATGGAGGAACTTAAACCAGGAGACCCTGGTTCCAGTCACAATTATTTTCCTGTGAGTTCCCAGCAGAGATGGACTCATATACGACTCAACATTTTTCCAGGTAAATATAACATTCACCCCCCTTCATTTCCATGACTTCTTTATATCAGCATGTTTAAAAACTATAGAGTAAAATCACCCTTTCCTTCTTGATCACTGATCTCGATACCATTTTAGGATTCTAAGTTTCCCCTTTTGTGCTCTAGGAAATCCTTATTTTAATCTACTCATAAGTAGGTAATTATTGAAAAACTATCAAATAAATTAGAATGTGATAGACCTAAGTTGTTTTATTTAGATATTTCCTAATAATTTTCTATTTCACAGGTATATTTTATCAACAGTAAGTGTAACAAACAAATGTCCCTCATTTTATTAATTTTTTTTTTGTAACAGCTTTATTGTGATATAATTTACATAACATGCAATTCACCCATTCAAAGTGTACAATTCAGTGATTTATAGTATATTCACAGATATGTGTAACCATCTTCACAATTTTAGAATATTTCATCACTTCATAAAGAAGCCCTGGAAAACATATCCAAGGAAAAACCCTCCAGCTACCACCTCCCTTCTCTCTTCTCAGTTTTAAGCAACTATTAATCTACTTTCTGTCTCTATAGATTGGACTATTCTGGATATTTCATATAAATTGAATCAAATAATATGTGGTCTTTTGTGCCTGGCTTCTTTTACACAGCACAATGTTTTCAAGGTTCATCCATGTTGTAGCATGTAGCAGTACTTCATTCCTTTTTTTTTTTTTTTTTTGTGGCTGAATAATATTCAATTGTATAGATATGGCACAGGAGCTCTGGTGGTGTAGTGTCTAAGGCATTTGACTGCTAACCAGAAGGCTGGTGGTTCAAACCTCCCAGACACTCCTTGGAAGGAAAACTGGGCAATCTACTTCCATAGTGATACTGCCTTGGAAACCCAAGGAGGGGTTGCTCAGTTGAATCAACTCAATGGCAGTGAGTTTTTTCTTTCTTTTTTTGGCTTGGTATGGATATGCCATATTAAAAAAAATCCTTTCATCAGTTGATGGATATTTTGGTGGTTCCCATCTGTTGACTATTATAAATAACAGTGCTTCAAATATTTGCATACAAGTTTTTTGTGGATACATGTTTTCATTTCTTCTAGGATTGGAATTGCTGGGTCTTATAATAACTTTATATTGAACTATTTGAAGAACTACTACAGTGTTTTCTATGTATCTGCACCATTTTACATTCCTACCAGCAGTCCAAGTAGTGTTTTGTTCTATTGTACATATGGAACTGACTCAACTGAAGCTTGTTTCTCAATATCTTAATCAATACTTGTTATCTGACTTTTTAATGATAATCTTCTTAAGGATGTGAAGTGGTATCTTACTGTTGTTTTGATTTGCATGTCCTTGAGGATTATGATGTTGAACATCTTTTCATGTGCTTGTTGGCTATTTATATACCTTCTTTTAGTGAAATGTCTATTCACATCCTTTTCTAATTTTTAAATTGGGTTATTTGTCTTATTACTATTGAGTTGGAAGAGTTATTTACATATTGTAGATGCAAGCCTCTTATCAGATATATGATGTGCAAATATTTTCTCTCATTTTGTGGGTTTCTTTTCACTCTCTTGAAAGTCTTTTGAAGCACAGAAGTTTCTAATTTTGAAGGAGTTTATCTATTTTTTCTTTTGTAGCTCATGTATTATTTTAAAATAATTACTAAGAGTTTGTTTTACATTCAACATTATATGTACATTTAGTTTCACTCTCCATTTACCATCCCCAACCCTAACCCAGTATCCTCCCCTTCCTGCCCAGTAACTCTTCCCCCGTGCCCCTCATAGTTATTCACTGCTGTGTGTCCTGCATTTCCTCCATGTGAATGTTACCTCTAGGTGCCCCATGGTCGATTGCTCCAAGGGATGCATTTCCATAGAGTATGTGGGTGTGTCACGCTGGGTTGAGTGGTATGTGTGTGCATCTTGTTTACTATTGGGATGAGAGTCAGCCCCTGGGAATGATCTTTATTCCAGGACCAGAATGTATCTCAGGACCATAGTATTGGTGGTCTCACCAGACTCCACCAGACCAGTAATTCTGGTCATTATTGAATTTTTGTATTTTATTCCATGTTTTCCCTCCAACTCTATCCAAGATCTCCAGATCTGATTCTTTCCTAAGTGGTTGGCATTGGTAGCCAGGCACCATCTAGCTCTTCTGGTCTCTTGGGCCACTGTGTCCTAGGGCTGAGTGCTTCCAAATGCCCCCCCCCCTTTTTTTTCACTCTTCTTTGCTTCCATTGATAGGAGACCGTTAGCTGCATCTTAGATGACTGCCTGAAAGCTTTTAAGACCCCAGATGCTGTTCACCAATGTAGGATGAGGAACAAGACTTTTATGTATTTTGTTGTGCCAGTTGAGTCTGGTGTCCCCCAATACTTAGCTCCTGTTTTTGGTGTCATTTCTAGGAAACCATGATGAAATCTGAAGTCATGAAGACTTGTCTTTATGTTTTCTTTGAAGAGTTTTATAGTTTTAACCCACAGATTTAGGTCTTTGAACCATTTAAATTTTGTATATGGTGTGAGATAAGGGTCTGACTTCATTCTTTTCCACCACCATTTCTTTCTTCATTCCCATTACTGTTTGTTGAAAATATTACTCTTTCCCTACTGAATGATCTTGGCACTCTTGTGATAATTGTTGTCAGGTGCTGTTGAGTCAGCTCTGACTCATAGTGACCCTATGTACAACAGAACAAAACACTGCCTGGTTGGGTGTCATCTTCACAATCCTTGCTGTACTTGAGCCCATCATTGTAGCCACTGTGTCAGTCCATCTTGTTGAGGGGTTTCCCCTTGTTCGCTGACCTTCCACTTTACCAAGCATGATATCCTTCTCCAGGGAAGTGTCCCTTCAGCAAGCATGACTAAAGTAGGTGAGACAAAGTCTGGCCATTCTCAGTTCCAAGGAGCATTCTGGCTGCACTTCCTCCAGGATGATTTGTTCATTCTTCTGGCAGTCCATGGTACTTTCAGTATTCTTTGCCAACATCAAAACTCAAAAGCATCAGCTCTTCTTTGGTCTTCCTCATTCATTGTCTAGCTTTAACATGCATATTAGGTAATGGAAAATACCATGGCTTGGGTAGGCACACGTTAGTCTTCAAAGTGACATCTCTGTTCTTTGGCATTTAAGTGGGTCTTTTGCAGCAGATTTGCCCAGTGTAATACAATATCTGATTTCTTGGCTGCTTCTTCTATGGGTGTTGATTGTGGAACCAAGTAATAAGAAATCTTTGACAACATCAATCTTTTCTCCATTTATTGTGATGTTGCCTATTGGTCCAGCTGTGAGGATTTTCATTTTCTTTGTGTTGAGGTATAAACTATACTGCAGACTGTAGTATTTAATCTTCATCAGTAAGTGCTTCAAGTCATCTTCACTTTCAGCAAGCAAGGTTGTTCATCTGCATATTGTGCATTGTTAATGAGTCTTTCTCGAATCCTGATGTCATGTTCTTCTTCACATAGTCCAGCTTCTTGGATTATTTGCTCAGCATACATATTGAATAAGTATGGTGAAAGGATACAACCCTGACATACAACCTTCCTGATTTTCATCCATACAGTATCCCTTTGTTCTGTTTAAATGACAGCCTCCTGGTCTATGCACAGATTCCTCATGAGCACAATTAAGTGTTCTGGAACTCCCAGGCTTCTCAATGTTATCCATAATTTGTTGTGATCTACTTACTGACAGATGAGTGGTGGTGTTGATAATTAGTTGACTATAAACAGATGGGTTTGTTTCTGGGCTCCTTATATAAATGAGTCAAAGATGACCTCTGTATATTGGCTCCAGGTTATTTATTTATTCATATTAGTTTGGGCCTAAGAGCCCCAAAAATCCATCAGGGTCAAACTTATATTGGTACATATCAACTTGTTACAAAATAGCTCAAATAAGCAAATTTTTAGCCACTTAGAGCTTGCCTGTTTTACATACTCTGTGAAATTTGCCCACTATCTGCTATTCATAAATATGGTAAAACCCTACAGTTATAAGGACTCCTAAATTGCTTCTGCCTGCCCTTGGAGCCCTCTACCCTCACCTCCTTACTTCAGCAGGACATCACCTAGGAATATGTAAGCTTCCCTCTTGTCATCTCCTCCAATCCTACTTCTTTTTCCTGTGAGTTTCCTTCATTTCTTCCCCTTTTGGTGGCTCTCTGTGCCACTTGCCTCTGGAACACCTCCAGCCATGGGAGATTGCTCTGCATGCAGCTGTCACTGTGACGACCTCAGTAAATAGCTTGTTGTGCAATGCTGCTATCTTATTGTATCTTTTTCCTTGATCAGCCCTGAACTTCCTTGAACTCAGTATTAACTCTCAGTTCTATATTATTCCTTATGCCAGTGCCACACACATTATGCCAATATCATACTATTTCTTTGTAGGAAATTTTGAATTTGGGAAGTTTGAGTCCTTCAAATTTTGTTTTGTTTTGTTTTGTTTTTCATGATTATTTCAGCTACTCTGAGTTCTTTGCAATTCCATATGAATTTTAGAATCAGCTTGTCAATTAATACAAAGAATTTAGCTGGAATTCTGGTAGAGATTATATTAAATCTGTGGGTCAATTTAGGGATTATTGCCATTTTAACAATATTAAGTCATCCAATCAAACATGGGATATTTTTCCATTTATTTAGCTATTCTTTAATTTTTTTTTTCATTTTTTTTGTGGACTATATTGTGCTAATTGATCTGATATCCCCCAAGACTCTTTCTGAGCCCAAACCTCAAAGTTTTTGGTTATGGCTAAGAAATGTTCAAAATATTGCCCCTAGTATGCTTTACTATGTTCATGGATATATTTGCAGCATATGTAAATACATATGTAGAAATATCCTCTGTCAAACCTACATATTTTCATGTGTATAGTCCCATTCTCCTTCTCACACCTATTCAGCTTGGTTTTAAGAACATTCTTTAAGTTTTTAAAGAATATTTTATAGTTATCAGAGTATATATTTTGTACTTTTTTGTTAAGTACTT